AGAATGGGGTGCGGAGGGTGCAAGGAGGGAAAAATGAGCTAATATTTTAGGGAATCACAAAATGAATGTGGTCTTTTTGAGTAAAACTGAGCCTTTTTCTTGGTAGTTATAATAGTGGTATTCAAAATGAAAGAGAATAAAGCCCTTTTTGGGTTCATAACCACGGGTGAAACAAAGTTTCTAGATCCTTGCAAGCGCATATAAAAGAGCAAAGGTAACAATTAAAATGTGATAAACTAAACAATATAACATGACCTCATTGGTATAGTAATAATTTGTGTGTTCACACTAATGAAGTAATACATATTAATAGGGGTGTAATGTATGTTATCTGCCCATGCAGTGTTGTATTATATTGAAGCATGGAGTTTTACTTGTAAATAAATTCTTTTAGGATTGATCAGTTAAGTAGGCTACTCTGTTACATTTCCAGTAAACATTTGAGGTATTCTTCAAGCATCTAGTTTATATCATGGAAAATTTTAGAATGATAGGCTAACCATTGTTTTTCTAACTATAAAATCAGTTGTTCGAATAAAATAAAAATAAGCTGATCCAGTTGAAGCTTGGAGTTAGGACCTAGAGATTGTTAAAGAAGAGGCCGAGTGTTCTCAGGAGACCATTATTAAGACCACTGGTCTAAGAAATAGAAAAAAATCATCGAGAAATTGTTGGGAACTGAAATACCTCATGCAATCAAATGTCACTAGAGATCGGACATTCCCATGTAAAAAAATAAATAAATAAAGTAAAATATACAGCCTGGAAAGCATTTATGAAAGTGCCAAATTATGCTTTTTTGCATAGTTTTGTTTGGTTTGGTCTTTTTAACTGTTCTTTCTCCTGATGCTACTAAGCAACATAGAGACAAAGAGATGCTTTTTTTTTTTTTAAACTTAAAGAGTTTTTTGCTATAAGGTGCATGTGCTCATCAGTGAGATGGAGACAAAGAGACAGAAAGTGAGAAATCATCCCCAGGGGGATGACCATGCCACAATTCCTTCTCCTCCAGTATCCTCTCAGGATCTTGGGCATGCATGCACCTGCACTTGGAATGAGTTTTAAGCTGCAGGGTCTGAGACTTGAACCGCGGATGACTACGTGGGAGTTCAATGACATAACCATCATGCCATCTGCTGATCCCAAGATACGGTTATTACTAAGAATGAAGGTTATAATAGCATATGTCTGAGTTGGCATAACTGGTTTTTGAAAGAAAAAGTAGGGCTACTCAGCCTACTGGTTAAAGGGAGCCAAGTCTCACGTGGTCTAGAGGTTCAAATCCTGGCTTGGACATCTTGAAAAATACCCCATGTGCATGTGGGTACATGCCCCAAACTCTTACCGGATACATGGAGGGGAAGAGTTTGTGGCATGACCATGTCCCACTGGAGGGTACTTTTCTTTTTTCTCTTTCTATCTCTCTCTGGCATGTGTATATGCCCTCTGACAATTAAGAAAATAACATGGAAGTATTTTAGGGTGTCAACTAAGATAATTTGAGTAATATTTTACAACTAACATACACACACACACACACAAAAATAAAAACAAATGTAGACAGAATAAAAAGCATAAGGAAGGTTCAAGATAGGACAGAAGAAAAAATTAAAATCCAGTTGAAATTCGCCATGGAAATGTAATAGTTGCAAATGATGTGGAGAAAAACAAATCATACATTAGCAAGAAAATTCAAGCAGTGACTTGAGTTCCTTATGTATTCTGCTTATCGGACCCTTAACTGATGCATAATTAACAAAAATGGTGTTATTGGTGGAAGATATTCTGATCAACTGGCCTGGGGAGAAATGTTCACATATTGAAATGTTCACTTTGTAAGCTAAATAATATGATTGAATGTATATAAAAAATAATAATAAAAATGAATAAAAACAATTCAAACCAGGTATGATGGTTTCTAGATCTTCACAGGACTCTACAGACAGTGCTTTGAAGAGTCACTCAATTTTCTACAACGTCCTATTCTAGAATAGCAAAAAATTGTATTTTAATGTGGACAAATACTTATTGCCCATATGCAAGATAGAAGCCTCCAAATATTCTCCCCTTTGTTAAAATGCATAAAGTAAAGAACAATACAAAATAGATTTGATGATGGACAGTGGTGCAGAGGTAAAATGTGATGCTCTGCAATCCATATTAAGTTTCTGGTTCACGTCCAGAGACCTCCTCTAGTACACCAGGCACACACTTGCCCAGGATCTGAGTCTGGCTGAAGGCTGGTGGACACCTGCAATGTTGATACCTTGCTGGGGATGCTCTCTCTCTCTTTTTCTGTATCTCTTGTTCATGAAAGAAAGAAAGAAACAAGAGAAAAAGAGAGAACCAATTAAATCAAACAAACAAAATGTACTAAAAATTAAATCACAAAACTGGCCAGTAATTGGTGAAATTGATTCATCCCTACTTCACTCCCTTGACTTGGACTAAAAATATATAGTTTTATTGCCTGTGATATGGTCTAAATTTATGAATTAGCCTAAAATTAAACAATGGTGAATGACCATTTTGTAATTTTCAGGATGGATAAATGGAAAGTATTTACAAGCACTTTATAGCTAATATACTAAAAATAAAAGGATGGAGTGGCATGGTTTCCTCAAGTTGTCTTCTGTGATACTACATAAATTCTTGATAAGTTATTGGATTCTTTTCTTTCTTCTTTTCTTTCCTTTCCTTTTCTTTTCTTTTCTTTTTCTTTTTGCCAAAGAGACAGAGAGAAAGAAAGCAAGAAATCAACCCCATGGTGATGGCCACACCACAATTCCTTCTCCTCCACTCTCCTCTCAGGATTTTGGGCATGCACGTACACATGCCTGACATGAGTTTGAATCCACCAGGTCTGGGACTTGAACCACAGTCAATCATGTGGGAGTCCAGTGATGTAACCGTCATGCCATCTGCTGGTCCCAGCTACTGCTTCCTTTCCTTAATGGAGAAATCATTTTTACATAATATTTCCATATAAGGACAAAGTATCATTCATGCAAAATGGCAACAAAAACCATATCAATTTATGCAAGAGCAAAATAGTTCATTTAATAATTCAGAAATACAAAACAGTTTAATACTAAGAATCAAACAATATAGTGCAGCAAAAGGTCAAATGAGAATATACTTTTCATATAATGCAATATCATCCCTAGGAGATTTACTAATGGAAACATCATTTATATATAGCATAATTGCTGTTATGAAATTCAGGACATATAATTTACCATACAGTTAAGAAATAATTTACCTGCCATCATTAGGGATTTAAGTGTTCTAGTTAAGTGAATCTTCAATACCCTTAAAATTTTAAACTCATTTATTTTAAATATATTACATACTTCACTGGCTTAATAAACAGTATTTTAATAAAATTTAGTATATTAATAAATTTAGAATTGTCATTATGAATATCAATTACTATGCTCTATTACAATGACAACTTACAGCTGTTTGTTCAGGACATAGTCACGGCTGTTATGTAAGATATAAGCAATTCATATTTCACAAGTATGAATATCCTTTCTCATATGTTGCTCTTATATGTCTACTGTCAATTCAAAAACGGCATGTTGGGACCAACAGAAGACATAATCGTTATGTTGCTAGATTCCCATGTAGTCAACTGCCGTTCAAGTCCCAGACTCGGTGGCTTATAACTAACACAGGATGTGTGTGGATGTGTGACCAAAATCCTGAGAATAGAATGGAGGAGAAGGGACTGTGGTATGGCCATCTCCCTTGAAGGGTCACTTCTTGCTTTCTGCCTCTCCATCTCTCTGTCTCTCTCTATATCTCTGACAAGTGCATGTGCCTCCAAAAAATATAAAGGGGGATGTTCATGTTTTTTCTCTGTTCTCTTGGCACCCGCTTACCTATAAATTTTGGAGACAAAAACTGCTTACTTCTGAATTTAGGAGAAAAAATAATGGCTTTCACAGGCAAACAGGAAATTAAAAATACAAATATATCATATATATTTTTTTCATGTATATATATATATATATATGAAATACAAATATATCATATATATTTTTTCATATATTATACACACACACACACCAATATATATATATATATATATGTATATATTTACCAGAAGGAATGTTTACTTGCTGATGAGAGACAAAGAGAGAAATTGAGGAAAGAGAGAAAGCACCCCCTTTGGGAATGATTGCACTGTAATATCTCTTTTCCTTCATTTCTATTTCTCCCTCATCTCATGATTAGGAGTACACAAGCACACATACTTGATGTGTCTCAATCTGCCACGTCCGGGACATGAACCACACAGTTGACCACTTGGCGTCCCAATGCCTTAACCACCATGCCATGAGTTGGTCCTGATTGTAATTTTAAAGTTTCTTATTTATTTACTTAATTACTTCTTACTTTTTTAAGGGAGATTTTGCTATAGGGTACATGTGCTAGTCAGAGAGACAGAAAGCAAGAAATCACCCCCCAGGGGGGATGGCCACCCTGCAATCCTTTCTCTTCCATTCTCTTTTTGGGACTTTGGGCACACATGAACACTCCTTATACAATACAGGAGCCCATCTAAGATTCCCTATCACATTTACATACATCTTTTTAGACTTCTCTTGGCTGTGGAAATTCCTGGTTTTGATCAGGTTTTGAGAGAATGTCTCAGTCAGGATTTGCTTGATCTATTTCTGATTATTAGATTGAAAATATAAATATTGGGAAGCAAGAACACAGAGGTAAGTGCAATTCTCATCGCATTTTATTACAAGTATAGGCCACCAAATGTGAGCTATCTTTGCTAATGCTGACCAGGATCACCAGGCTGAGACAGTGTTTCTCGCATTTCTCCACTGTAAATTATTACTGTATTTTTGCATACTGTACTCTTCAGAAGGATGTCAGGATGAGAAGAAGCTCGCACTTTAAAAATGGGAAATATGACCCATTCCTTTCTCTTGCTTGGTGCTGACAATAGAACTGGCAGCCATCTCTTCCCCTGAATCATGGCTTCACCCCTTGTGAAGCCTAAGATAATCAAAAAAGTTCATCTGGCAACATTCAGACGATATGTTGAAATTAAGTGTACCTGGAAAAAAACCAGAGATATTGACAAGGTGCACAAGCGATTCAAGGACCAGATCTTGATGCTCACCACTGGTCACCGGGAGCAACAAGAAAACAAAGCACCGTGCTGCCCAGTGGCTTCCAGAACCTCCAAGGAGCTGGAGGTGTTGCAGATGTGGAATAAATTATACTGTGCTGGAATCATTCACAACATTTCCTCCAAGAACCGCAAAACATTGTGGAAAGAGCAGCCCAGCTGGCCTCAGAATCACCATTCCCAACACCAGGCTGCACAGAGAAGAAAATGAATAGACAGCATGTGCAAGTTTATTTGCATCTAAATAAAACCACAACCCTCTCCCCCTTTCAAAAATAAAAAGAGGAAACATGCTCTATCTCCTTGAGTATAGAGTATGATTCTAAATTGCTTGGAACTCTTTTGCATAGATTTATCTTTTCCTTCTCATTTATTTATTTATTTATTTCTCCCTATCACTATGACATTTTTTTACTTTTGTTATAATCCAAGGCTACATTACATACACAAATCAGTCTTTGGGAACTCTTTCAGTTGGCTCTTCTGTCTCTTTGATATAGCCCTTCACAGTGAGGCTTTTGGGATCGTGTGTGTTTGTGGGCGTGTGTGTGTGTTTGTGTGTATGTATTTAAATACTTCCTTTCTTCACGGCACTTCAAAAATTCTAAGTTCATCTCATATTTTGCTACCACAACTCCAGAGACAGTAATTACAACAAGAAGCCTGGTCCCTTTCATTGCAGGCTCATATTAGAATATAAAATCTGGAGGGGTCAGCAGATGGGAAAGCAGTGATGTCGCTGGGTTCCCAAGTAGCCAACTGTGGTTCGAGTCTTGGACCTGGAGGGCTTTAAAAATCCCTGGACATGTGTGTGTGCATGCCCAAGGTCCCAGGAGGAGAATGGAAGAGAAGGGATTGTGGCATGGCCATCCTTCCTGGAGAGTGATTTCTCTCTCTTTCTCTCCCTAGCAAGCACAGAGAGAGAGAGAGAGAGAGAGAGAGAGATAATATAAGATCTGGGAACTAGGCATACTCATTGCTACTGGAATGTACTCAATGTATACAATGTGCTCATTGCTTCAAACCCATAGACATGTACCCATGTCTATGAGAATTGTACGTAATCATGAGTATGTCTATTAAACTAAACTTCAGTTCATGCTGATGACTCTAATTGTAATCCATTGCCATGTGGTCCCCCTTCCTTATATGTCATCTCCTACTGCAATAGTAAAAAACCCGGTCTCCTACATTTATCACCCAGTTTCTTACTTTTTCAATTCCATTGTACATGCATACTTGTTTCAGGTTGTTGACATTTATCTTAATGGGAAAAAACTTAATTAACTAGAATACAATGTTCACATACAGGTAATTTTGCTTTTAGTCTTACGGAAGCAATTCATTTACAAAGTTACTGAAGTAAGCACCTATTTCCCCACATGATTTAGTGAGGTTATTATACATATACCTAATGTATAAATATATTCTTTTGTCACATTCTACATTCTATCCTGGGATCTCAAACCTTCAAATGACTTTTTATATTTCATACATTAACTTTTTGCACTGTAAATTCTATAAGACAAATACTGCCGTGTGTCTAATATACTATCATACAAATTAGGTTCATCATACTAAAGGATCCCTGTGCTCCACCTCATCAGTCTTCTTCCTACCCCCATCCCTGGAAATCACCCATCTGTTTATTGCCTCTGTGCTTTTTGCCTTTCCCATACTGTTAGATAAATAGAAAGATGAGTGCATAGCACTTTTATACTGACGGACACTGCTGCTGCTGCTGCTGCTACTGCTGCTGCTGTTGCTTCTCCTCCTCCTCTTCCTTTTCTTCCTCCTTGTCCTCCTCTCGTTCTCCTTCTTCTTGTTTAATTTGCCAGAGAATGAATCATGAGAGAGAGAGAAAGAGCGCAAGAAAGTAGTTCCATTGGCTGCAATCCCTTCTTCTCTCTTTATCTCTATTTTAGGGATTTGGGGTATGCATGCACATGCACCCAGCATGTTTTTTAAGTCACCATGTCCGGGACTCAACCCAAGCAGTTGGCCTTGTGGGATCCAGATGCCTTAACAATCATGCCAAGGGATGGCCCTTGATTTGCTCTTTAATTTAACATTGTGCATTTAAGTTTTATCAGTGTTTTTCCTTGGTTTGGTAGTTTACATTCTGTTATCACTGACTAGTAATTAATTGGATGTATGTGTCATTTTCAATTATCCCATGAAGGGCAACTTTTTTTTTTAGCTGTTTCTAGTTTTAGGTTATTATACACAAAGCTGTTATAAAGTTCTCATGCAGGCCTTTGTGTGGAATTTTTTTTAACTTAACTGGGTAAATACTTATGATTTTTCTATAAATTTCAATTAATCTAAGTTGATTGATAATGCCGTTTCAATCTACTATATCTTTACTGATTTTTCTGTCTGCTTGACCTACCAACTACTAGAAGAGGTATTTTGAAGTCTACAACTGTAAGAGGTTTCTCTGTTTCTTTTTTTTTTTTTTTTAGTTCTATCACTTTGTCTTAATGTATTTTGACATTTTGATATTAATTGCCTATATGTTTAGGGTTGTTGTGTCTTCTTGGACAAGAGTCCTTTATCATTATGTTATGCCTCTTCCTTTAAGACTTGTTTTTTATTTTTTATCATTTTTTTCATTTGCTATAGGACATGTGTGGAGAGAGAGAGAGAGACAGAGAGAGAGAGAGAGAGAGAGAGAGAGAGGGAGATAAAGTGAGATCATAAGCCAGAAGTTCTGGGACCTGAAATGTGGTTGGCCATGTAGAAGTTCAATTCCTTAACCACTATGCCTTCTGTGGGCCAAGCAATGTCCCTTTTAATTCCTGATGATTTTTCTTGCTTTGAAATTAGTTCTGTCTGAGATGAATATACCTACATCACCTTTCTTTCAATTTTTGTTATATTAGTTGGTATCCTTTTGTTTTTAATCTTCCAACTTCTCTTTTCTCTCACTCTCATATCCTCTTGCTCATTTATTTTAGAGACAGGGTCTCCCTATGTTGCCCACTCTGCCTAAAATGTACAATACTTCTTCCTCGGCTTTCCCAGTAATTGAGATTACAGGTGTATACTGTTGCACCCAGCACAGACTCTGTATATATATTTCTTTCTTTTTTTTTTTTTTTGAGGGGTTTTTGCTGTAGGGTGTGTGTGCTCACCAGAAAGACAGAGAGAGACACAGAGACAGAAAGCGAGAAATCACCCCCCAGGGAGGATATGGCCATGCCACAATCTCTTCTCCTCCATTCTCTTCTTGAGATCTTGGACACGCACACACATGCACCTGGTGTGAGTTTAATCCACTGGGTCCAGGACTCAAACTGTGGTCAACTACATGGGAGTCCAGTGACATAGCTATTACGCTAACTGCTGGTCCCCAGACTTTGTACATTGAAAGGAGGTTTCTTGTAGACAACATAAATACTTTTTCTTTCTTCTTTTTTTTAAATAATTATTTTTATTTAACTTATTTATTTAACTAATTTAACCAGAGAGGTACAGAGCATGCGCGCACAAGAGAGGAGAGAGAGACAGAGACAGAGAGAGACAGAAAGTGAGAAAGCTGCTAGGTCCAGGACTCAAACTGTAGTCGGCCATATGGGATTCCAGAACCCGTAACCACCACACCACCTGCTGATCCTGTTTTTTCTTTTTTTTTTAAATACACTTTGACAATCTCTATTTTAATTGGTAAGTTAAAATCATTCACATTCAAAATTATTTTTATATATTTGTGTTAACATCTAACATCTTATTTTATCTTAGTTGCATTTATTCTTTGTTTCTCCCTTCCCCTTTTAATTCAAATTATTTGTTTCATAAAGAAAGAGATAGAGAGGAACGATTACCCCTGACAAAGTCTTATCCCACCGCAATCATCCTTCTAGATTTTACCCGGCCAGAATCATGGGCCAATACCTCAAGCCAGGATTCATATGTTCCAATGTCTCACAGTGGCCCCCTACTACCTGCTCCCCTACAACTGGACCTGCCTTCACTGGCTGTATTAATGCATTTTTAAAAATAATTCATTGCATCTCCTCTCTTACTATAACAAATACACTTTTTAAAAAATCCCCTTAAAAGTTACATCTCCAGTGATGAAACTTTTTTTTAATGTAGATTCTTGTTTCTGAGTTAAGTAATTTTCTTTTTAAATTTGTGATCGATCACGATCATGCACAAGGTGGGAGGGAAGTGAAAGAGAGAGAGTTGTGCCTCCTCTGGAGAGTCTGATTATGCCATGACCCCCTTCCTCTAGTCCTTTAGCCTTCTAGCCCATGGGATCCTGCACATTTGAGCAAGTACCTAACCAGGCCTGGAATTTGAACTGTGTTTGCCATGTGGGATCCAGCTTCTCTTGAACAGTGCTTTTACTTCTGCAAAATGGAGCCAACCCATTTTCCTTTTCCTGAATTAATTAATTAATTAATTTTTATTTTTAGGTTTTTGTCATAGGGTACATGTGCCTGTTGGGGAGGAGACAGACAGAGAGACCAAGAGAGGGAAAAGGAGAAGTCACCGTTCAGGCAGGATGGTGCACTGCAGTTCCTTCTCCTCTTGGGATTTTTGGAAACACATGCACCACCTGCGCCCAGCATGATTTTCAAGCCATTGGGTCCAGGACTCAAACCGTAGTCAGTCATGTGAAAATTTAGCCGCCTTAATCCTGTGCCTCCTGCTGGCCCTATTATCATTATCATCATTATTATTTTACTGTTTTCTTTAGGGAAGATCTGTTGGCAAAGAATTCACAGAGTGTTTAATATCTCAGAATTTTTTTTTTTATCTCCTTTACTTTTAAGGGCAATTTTTCTGTATATAGTATTTTAGGTGACTTTTTATTTCCTAATTTGTTGTACAATTTCTCATAAGAAGTCCCCTATAATTCTTAGCTTTTTACTGCTATCAGTAAGTCCTTTCTGAATTTATTTCAACTTTTTTTTTTCTTTGTCATTGGTTTACTGCAGTTTGAATATAATATGCTTGAGTTTGGGTTTGATTGGTTTGTTTTATGTGTTCTCTTTGGACCTGTTCTCTGAGCTGCATGGGCCTGAGATTTGGTTTGCTGTCATTAATTTGTACATGTTCTCAGTCATTATTACTTTGTTCTGTTCTGTTCTTTCTTTGTTCTCTCTCTTTTTTTTTTTTTTGAGAGGTTTTTGCTATAGGGTGTGTGCGCTCACCAGAAAGAGAGAGAGAAACAGAGAGACAGAAAGTGAGTTTGTCATT